TGAAGCAGCGGGTATCGCGAACTATTTTCATTGGGTTGGGTAAGGGCAAAGCCGTTATATATATAATTAACATCTCCCCAACGCAAAAATACATCTTGATACTCAATCTTAATTTTTTTTTATAAATCTCGGGCGAGTTTGCCAATTATAGACAAAGGTTGGGGGGTAACGACAAAAAGCATTTCAGATTCGATTCACTCGACAGAGTAAGAAATGATAAACTGGAGAAAAAGGCTGCATCACACTTTAAGCACAGATTTAGTGGCAAGGTTAACATGCTTAAAATCACAAATTTTACCAAGCCCGACAACCAGGAGGGGTAACACCCTGCGCAATCTCTGTTCATTGATTGAAATAAACGAGATTTCTTCCGATGATTTTTCTTGTTTTGTGCACTGCCCCCTCTCTGTCGCGGGTCCTGTGTTTTACCAAGCAATAGATTATTCCTAAATCCAGACTTGGTTCGTAGCATATGACCAAAGCATGTCAGTTTTGTCTACCATGGCCACTAGGGTGATATTTGAGTTGACGATTTTGATCATTGTGCTACACTAAGGTTAAAGCAGAAACAGTAAGGTGCTTGGTAACTGACGGAACGGAGAGTGGGGTGGGAGATTCACAAGTATCGCTAGAAAGACTGCAAGGTTCGTTGAGTACAAAGTTTATTTTAATATTCATTATGTTAAGGCTTCAGCAATTTAAGGTTTTAATGCGTACTACATGTGTAATGATGTATGTTGCATATTCACGCGAGGGAAACGCGCGGAGAGTGGTCACATTGGGATGAATGCGTATTAAAACGTAAATGCCCACGCGAGGAAAACGCGAGGAGGGTTACTCAGCGGCAACTCGTAAACGTTGTTTAATGTGCATAAATTTCAACAAAAATGGGCAAAACAAATCTTACCATTTCGGGCACTCATGAAAAGTCAGATCTGTTTGCAAAGAGACACTTCTGTACTGAGGCTTCTTAGGTACCGGTATTAAGGGGAGATATTCAATTATCAGTAGCCATTATCAGACCTTTTCAAATTCAGATTGCTTGGTTGATTTAAACAGTTTCCAATTGCAAATAATCAGGACCATAAAAATCAACGGTATAACAGTTCGTAAAATTACAATTTCCACGGAGCCATCAGTCATTTCCATGCAGCTGAACCAATTTGTAAGGCATAAAAGATTAGTCTTGCATATATGCCTGTAAAGATAAATATTTGTCTTCACTGCATTTTTACATACATGTATATGTTGGGTGGAAGTAAATAGACACTAATTTTCATACGTGGTTTCTTCGTCTGTGTCACCCAAGGTTCCCTCGCTGTTGTCACCCGCCCTTTCTCCATACATGTCGACCGCGATTTTTCGTCATTGTCGTCCGCGGATTTTTCAACAGATGCACGTACATGTATGGTTTCTTCGTTATGAATGACTTTGTTCCCGAACTGGTTTACCTGCATATTCCCTAAGTTTCTTCTTTGCCCTAGTATTGTCATCTTTCTGCTGAAGCAACACTTAGAGACAGGAGTGACCAGGTAAGACATTTTGAAAACTCATCACTTGCATCTTACGTTACTGTATCAGAACAGAAAACATAAATACATGAGAGGCCTGGGAGCGAAAAGTCGATTCTTTTAACATGACGTCGGGTTGACAGCAACATCATCAAATAAAAAGTCATCTGTTTAATTTCTCATGTTTCAGTTCCTGGAATTCTTTGTAGAATTGTCCCAAACGAGGGCTCTGTCGTACTCATTCAAATTTGTGTAGTCATCTAGGATAAGACAAACCACAGAAGAGTCCGTTTCGAAGAAGTGATTAAACTCAGTAAACATACCTCCGTCAATGTAACTTTACTAGCTGTGACCGTAGTGTCATCTTAACAGTGCTTATTTCTAGTTCATTATACGAACAACTAGGATTTCCATTAATTGGGTGAGGAGAATTAGCAACATACCATTTTGTCCGGAGTTCAAGACTGAGCTGAAAACCGTTC